GAACCAGAGCAGCCCTCCTCCACACTCTCCTCTCCTTATTTACCCGCTTCACCCATCTACCCTCCAACCCTCCACCCACGCATCACTGTTAGGGCGTGAATTGCCCCCCAAATTCTTCTGTTGAGAGCTGGCCATGACAGGATTAAGAAAGTGAAAATGAGGGACCAGCAGATAGCATAATGGTTACGTCACTGGACTCCCACGGAGTCAACTGCTGTTCGAGTCCCGGACCTGACAGTTTAAAACTCATGCCAGGCACATGTGTGTGCATTCCCAAAACCCCAGGAGGAGAATGCAAGAGAAGAGATTGTGGCATAGCCATCTCCCCTGGGGCGGGGAGGGGGGGATTTCTCACTTTCTGTCTCTCTATCTCTCTGGCAAGTGCACAAAAAACATCTCTCTCAAAAAAAAAAAAAAAACAAAAGAAAAAAGAAAAAGAAAGTGAAAAATGTAACCCAACTATAGTGTTAAAAGATGGAGCCTTTGGGACGACATTAGACTTAAAGTCTTCCATGACGCTCCTGGAGGGTTTAGGAGAGGAAATGAGGCCAGAACAGACACAGGGACACAGACATGCGCTCCTGCCCTCCACCGTGTCATGAGGTAGCCAGAAGACCCTCCCCAGATGTGCCCCCTGGCCTTGGCCCTCTATACTGTGAGCTGAATACACCAGAATCAGGTCTTTTTTGTGATTAGCAACAGAATGGACCAGAACAATCACATTCTCCAGGAGCCGCTGCTCCCCAGATTGGCTTCGCTGTCTCTCTGCTTCATAACTTCCTGAGCCAGCCTCCATGACCACCTGGCGCGGGTCCTCTGTGATGCAAAGAGGCCACCAAGTTGCCCTCCTGCTTTCTCACCCAGTGGGACGCTCCTCTGAGGGCAGAGACCCTGTCTAGGATCACAGGTTCTCGGGCACCACCAGCAGGTGGCACAGAGCCCGGCACACAGCAGGGACGTGGTGAAGAGTGTGGCTGTGCTAGCAGGCAGCTGGTCTGCTGAGGGGTACTGCCCCACCTCTGGGTACCAGCTAGGCTTCCGGTGCTCTCCTCCAGCTTGGGTGAAGGGAGCAACTCTGATGGGGCAGGACCAGCTGTGCTGTGCACAGAGAGGAGTGACAGGTGGAGTGGAGGAGGCAGGGGAGGCGTGATGGGAGGGAGGGAGGGAGCGGGCTGGAGATCAGCTGTGGGAGTGGTGATGGTGACAAGTCCCAGTGTGAGGAAGTGCTAAGTCACCAGGAAAATCATGAGCCATGGAGGAATCAAGGAGTCAGAGGGAGATGACTGGTGACGGGCGCAACGTCATTCTGAGCTTTGCCATTGCAAAGAGAGGCGTGGTGGTGCTTCTCCACAGCAGCGGAGGCCCTCTGTGTGTCTGCCCTAGGCATAGCCGTAGCCCCCAGGCAGCCCCCAGAATGCGCATGGCCCTGTGAGCCCACAGCGTGCCTGACAGAGGGGTCAAGGTAACAGGTCCTGGCAGGATCGCTGTTCGATGGTCAGAGCTGGGCAGCCACGTTGTCAGCAGAGAAGGCCGTAGAGGGCAGGAAGGGCCAGGAGTTAGGCGACCTGTGTTTTGTTCCCATTCTTCCAGCAACAAGCAAGATCTTTGATGAACCACTTAGTGTCAGGAGGCATCGCTTCGCTATCCTGAAATCCCAAATGTGTACTCTAAAGCCATGCCCTTTGCCCCGGTCCTGAAAGTGATGCGGGCCCCAGTCTGTTGTGCTGTGCCTCCACCCAGGGACTAACAGTGCCTCTGCAATGCAGAGTGACAAGACTCAGCAAAGATCTAGTGGCAGAAACTCAAAGTAGGTGGCTTCAAGGAGGACCAAGACCGAAATGACAAGGAGACCACGCACAGTGGACATGCCTTCAGCTGGGGGGACAAGGCCAGGGCTCCGCACTGCTGACTGCTGGGTTCAGGGGAGGCAGACAAGCCCGGTAGCCTCAGCTCAGGCTTTTCCTCCTCCTTCCTTGTTTCATGTGCATTGGAGGAGGTGAGGAGGGGAGAGCTTGTGCTAAGGCCTTCTACGAAAACTCCCCCCGTGGACCAGCAGATGGCGGCGTGGTTAAGGTGCTGGAGCCCATGGGGCCTACAGCACAGTTTGAATCTGAAACCCAGACCAGCAGGTGGCATGGTGGCTAAGGTGCTGGACACTCCCACATGGCTGACCAAGGTTTGAGTCCTGAACCTGGCAGCTTGCTTTCTCTCTCTCTCTGTCTCTGGTCCAGTTAAAATAAATGAATGGATAAATTAAATAAAAAATAATTCCTTTTAAAAAAAGAAAGAAAAGTGTGTGTGCATGCCCAAAATCCTGAGCGAGAATGGGGGAGAAGAATTGTGGCCATCCCCGGGGGGGTACTTTCTCACTTTCCCTCTCTTTCTGTCTCTCTATCTAGTAAGCACATGTGCCCTACAGCAAAATATCTTTGAAAACTAAAACACTCCCCCCCGGGGACTGCATGGTGACACCGTGCTTTGCCCGACGGGTGCACGTGGGAAAGGCCCAGGTTCCGTTAGTTCTAGTTTGGAACTTCCCAGGCACGGGGTTAGGGGCTAGCTGGAGTTGGTTACGGCATCAAAGTTCTGCTGGGAGCACCGTCTCTCTGTCCCGCTCCCTCACTTACATGGGAAAAAAAAAAAATACACTTACCAAAAAAAGCGACTCTTCATCCTCCCCTTTGCTAGGCAGCAAGGTAGCCAATGAGCCCCCTTCTCCGAGAAGCCTCTCCTCTCTGGTCTCCTCTCGCTGTCCTGCAGCTCCCCTCTATGCCGCTTGCTGCTGTCCCCGCATAAGGCGAGCTCCGAGGCCCCTGCTGTCCCTGTGTAAGGCGAGCTCCGAGGCCCATGCACACTCAATGGGCAGGGAGTTCTCGGAGGGATCCACGGGCCACTCTGTGGCTGGTAAGCTGAAGAGTGCATGAGGAACAGGACTTGAGAAGAACCGGGCTCCCGAGCTGAGAAAGGTGCTTAGTAGGCCATCAGCCCTCTCCAAGGGAGCGCACGGCCCCTCCAGATAGACGTCACTACACATCGTGCGCTGCGTGAGAAAAGCGCATCGTTCCCCTAAGTGCACGAAATGGCAATGTGTCAACACGAACACCATAAACAAGCCGCTGGGGGTTTCTGGCTCACGGTCTCTGCGGTGAAGGTCTTGGTTACCCGGCTGCCCAGTCTGCTGGACACTCCCACATGGCTGACCAAGGTTTGAGTCCTGAACCTGGCAGCTTGCTTTCTCTCTCTCTCTGTCTCTGGTCCAGTTAAAATAAATGAATGGATAAATTAAATAAAAAATAATTCCTTTTAAAAAAAGAAAGAAAAGTGTGTGTGCATGCCCAAAATCCTGAGCGAGAATGGGGGAGAAGAATTGTGGCCATCCCCGGGGGGGTACTTTCTCACTTTCCCTCTCTTTCTGTCTCTCTATCTAGTAAGCACATGTGCCCTACAGCAAAATATCTTTGAAAACTAAAACACTCCCCCCCGGGGACTGCATGGTGACACCGTGCTTTGCCCGACGGGTGCACGTGGGAAAGGCCCAGGTTCCGTTAGTTCTAGTTTGGAACTTCCCAGGCACGGGGTTAGGGGCTAGCTGGAGTTGGTTACGGCATCAAAGTTCTGCTGGGAGCACCGTCTCTCTGTCCCGCTCCCTCACTTACATGGGAAAAAAAAAAAATACACTTACCAAAAAAAGCGACTCTTCATCCTCCCCTTTGCTAGGCAGCAAGGTAGCCAATGAGCCCCCTTCTCCGAGAAGCCTCTCCTCTCTGGTCTCCTCTCGCTGTCCTGCAGCTCCCCTCTATGCCGCTTGCTGCTGTCCCCGCATAAGGCGAGCTCCGAGGCCCCTGCTGTCCCTGTGTAAGGCGAGCTCCGAGGCCCATGCACACTCAATGGGCAGGGAGTTCTCGGAGGGATCCACGGGCCACTCTGTGGCTGGTAAGCTGAAGAGTGCATGAGGAACAGGACTTGAGAAGAACCGGGCTCCCGAGCTGAGAAAGGTGCTTAGTAGGCCATCAGCCCTCTCCAAGGGAGCGCACGGCCCCTCCAGATAGACGTCACTACACATCGTGCGCTGCGTGAGAAAAGCGCATCGTTCCCCTAAGTGCACGAAATGGCAATGTGTCAACACGAACACCATAAACAAGCCGCTGGGGGTTTCTGGCTCACGGTCTCTGCGGTGAAGGTCTTGGTTACCCGGCTGCCCAGTCTGGTGATGAAGTCATCCCGATTATTAGCGTTCTTGGAGTTACTGTTCTGGACAGAGTCGGTAGGAGAGATTTCATACAGGCCCGACAGCCACACCTGCTGAGACACGCTCCAAAAAAAAACCTTTGCTCTTCCCAATCTCGTAATAAACGCTGGAGAACAGAGGGGAGCTCTGCATATGTTGTTGGCACCTGGTGGCAGGCCTGCTTGTGGCGAGAGTCGCTGAAATGGTTTGGCAGCCCGGGGGTGGTGGCAGGACAGGAGGGGACAAACGAGGGCATGGGGCTGGTGAGGGGGCACCTCAGGCTGAGCCTGTGGATCCTCAGGGGGTTCTGGGCACACTCTGTCTAGGGGCACACTGACGTCTCGGCTCATGTGTCCTTGAGGCTAAAGAGGTGACACCCTCACTGTGTCCACTCGCATTTCACTTTTGGATTCTGGCGACTGCAAAATCTGATTCCCGCTCTCCTCCCTGAGCAAGTTCTCTTCCTTCTCCTTGCAATAAAGAAAAGTTGAAGAAGAATGAGAACCTGCTTCGTGGCATATGCTCGGTGATGCTCCAGCCTGAGATGGGACATACAATGCCCCGGCATGGTCTAACTGCCCCATGAGGCAGTTCACTCACCTTCCCTCAGAGAGGCCACATGGGAACAGCTGGACCAGGACATCTGGGTGACTTCACTCTCAGCTCTTGGGGTGCTCACAGCCCCCAGGATCCTCGTTCCAAGACTGTGCACCCCAGGCAGACGGCGGTGCCACCTACATCTCCTGGAAGCCACTGGGCATGTTTGGGATATGTGCATGTTGGCACCTTCCTCAAAGCTGAAGAGTCGTTGCCAATAGTAAAACGGCCTCTTTTTTACAGTATTAACTGTGGGGCCAGCCAGCCAGTGCAAAGGTTAAAGTGGCTAAATCCCACATGGCCATTTGCACAGTTTGAGTCTCAGACCCGGAGGCTTGGAAAACACACCGGGCACATGTGCATGTTGCCCAAAATCCTGCCAGGAGAAATGCAGTGCAGCATGGCCATCCCCCTCAGGAGCGCCTTCTCACTTTCCCTCTCCTTATTCTGCTCTCTGTCTCTACAAGTACAGACCCTACAGCATTTTTAAAATGTATTGTGCATACTTGGGGGTGATTTTCATCTTTATACCCCCAGCTTACTGTTTTATTACGACAACCATGCATAATCTAGGCTGGTTCTTCTTCCTTTTTAAAAAGTTTCTGCCTTAGGATGTGTGCACACCTTAGAGAGAGATGGAGAGAAGACGAATAGAAAACCACCCCCCGGGGGGATGACCACTCTGCAATCCCTTCTCTGCTCTCCTCTCAGAATTCTGGCACATACGCACATGTGCCTGGCATGAGATTCAAGACTCTGGGTCTAGGACTCGAATCACGGTCAGCCGTGTGGGAGTCCAGCAGCATAACCACGGTGCCATCTGCTGGTCCCGAGTTTTGATTTGCCATAGGGCACACGTGATCTCCAGAGACGGGGAGTGGGGAGTGGGAAAGGTGGGGAGGGAGGGGTGGAGAGTGAGAAACCAAGCCTTGAGGTCTGTGGGACTCCAGCACCCTAACCAACACACCACAAGCTGGTTCTTCTTACCAGTGCTTTTCCCTGCTTTTTTTTTTTTTTTTTTGTAGAGATTTTCACTGTAGGGCGCGTGCGCTCGCCAGACAGACAGAGAGAGACATAGAGACAGAAAGCGAGAAATCACCCCCCAGGGGGGATGGTCACACCGCAATCCCTTCTCCATTCTCCTCTCCGGATCTTGGGCACGCACGCACACGCGCCCGGCGTGAGTTTTAAGCCACCGGGTCCGGGACATGAACCGCGGTCGACTACGTGGGAGTCCAGCGACATAGCCATTACTCTAACTGCTGGTTCCCTCCTTGCTTCTTTTTGAGATAGAAGAATTGAAGAAAAGTTAGTACCACCTGTTTAAAAATTTTTACTTAGGAATTCCATGAGCTAGAGAGAAATGGAAGGCAGAAACAGTACCCTATCAGGGGGGAGGCTGCCATCCAGCCCCGCCCTCAGCCAGCGCTGGCCCACCGTGCTTGGCAAGCAGTACCGTGTACTCAGGGAGGTTTACAGACCCAAACGTGGGACCTTCCAGTACAGTCAACTTCCAGAGCTTCTCGATTCACTGACACACCAGCATCCGACCCCCAGGGCCGCTTCTGTTCAGGCCTGAGCTGTGGTCTCTCCTGGGGCAGAGCGTTCAATGTCCCCACCCTAGCTCAGTTTCACATCACTGCCATCGAGGCCCCACACTCACCGTCCGGGAAGCAGGCAGTTTTCATCCTCAGGCACAGACCCTGGGATGTCCAGCCTCTGGCCAGAGCTGGAAATCCAGGTCTCCCTAAGAGAAAGCCTTGCTTGGTGTCCCTCCCACTGCAGAGAAGTTCCTGACCCTCACCCCTGAGGAGTGCACCCTAGCTTTGGCTTTGTACATCCAGACCAACCCCTGTGCTCATCTCAGCTTCCGGCCGGGTCCTCGGGGACCACCCTGCCTCCTCCCTCCTGGTATCTCTGGAAAGTTAGAGCGTTAAAGAAACAGCCTTGGATCCAGAGCCTCAGAAGTCGCAGCTTACAGACGCTTTTTTAACTGCCTCTGAATCATGCACCTTTTGGAGCGGCCTCCCCACCCTCAGCTGCAAGAGAGGCAGGTGAGGGGGAAAGAGGAGAGCAGCGGGGGTCCTGAGTCAGCGCTGACTGCAGCGGCGGCTCCTCCACAGCTTAATCACCTCCAATTATGGCTTCTGACTGGGCCGCCAGTCATTCGCACTGCGCCTCCTCGGTGCGACCCTGGCCGCCCCCAGCAGGCTGCGCGTGTCCAAGACGCCGGCTGGGTGTGTGCTTCCCAGCGCCCCAAAAAGGTACCCGGCAGCCAAGTGACTCAAGAACGAGGGCCCACCTCTTCCCCCTCGCCATCTGCTCTAGGCTCTGAGTGTCTTCTGGGGGCAACAAAAAGGGGGATTTGCAAGCGCCCCTCCCTCCCAGCCGCCTAGAGGGCGCGCGCCCCTCCATTAGCTG